AAGTGCTAGATGATAATGGGGGGCTTCCCCCAGCCAGGAAATGAGGCGGCCTCTATCTGACTTAATGTCTTTCAATGCTGCTGTTGGAGACCCGCCCCTCACTTCCTGCCTGGGACAATGTTGTCAGCAGGAAGTGGGGGTAAATCTCTAGCAGTAAAAACCTGGCAGGGTTTCTCCCCCCTCCCCCTAAGAAAGGCTTAGCCTGACATACAATTTAAGTGAAGACTCATCTCTTCAGGGAAGCCGATCCCACCTCAACCTAACAGCTCAACCATCACGTTCTCATACAATTCATCCCCACACAGCTCCCTCCTCATGTATCACTGGCCCCTCCCCTCTTCGACTGTAAGCGCTCAGGGGCGGGGCCCTCCTCACCATCTTGTCTTGAATTGTATTGTGACTGTAATGTCTTCCTTATATTGTAAAGCGCGGCGCAAACTGCTGGCCCTATATAAATCCTGTATAATAATAATATGTGGCACTACAAAAGCAAAGCACAGGTTCTCTTTACCTCTAACCTCCAGGCAATATAAACCAGCATCATACCCAGTTATGTTACATTTCTGGATCATTAAATATTTGTTATTTATTGGAGTTAACATGCCATAGATCTACATGGTTGTCCAGACCTTAGCCCCGGTGCGAAGGTCGATTAATATCCTGAATAATAATAATAAAAAAAATAATAAAATCAATAGTAAGAAAGATAATATATTTCATTATTTCGCTGGAATTCCGCCGTAACGGGTTGACATTGATGACAATAATATATTTTTTGTTTTCCACTCTTTTCTTTATTTAAACTGTACAGCACAAGAGATCGCCGCTTATAGCAAATCTAAGTGAAAAAAAAAAAAAAGTTTGGTTTTAAATTATTATTATGTAACAGAACCTAACGTGAATATTTTTCTTTTCTTTTATTAAATAATAACAAACATTGTATTTAGGAATGCACAATATTTTTATGCTTTTATTTCAAGTATAAAAAAATATATATTAGAAAATACAATAGTACATTTTATTTCTTTTTCTTTTTTTGTGTCAAATCCATAGCGCCTGGTTGGATGTCATTGAAATGCATAGTTCAAGGGACAGCGCCGGTCCGAGCAGGGGAACGTGTAAGCAGTCCGTGATCCCATTGCGAGGGGCGGTCCTTGCCGCCGACACCCCCCCAAAGAGAAAAGCCGCGAGTCCACTTCTGGTTTTGTTGCGACGCGCGGAGCGATGTGTTCACTTTCCTGATATGGACGTCTCCGGGCAAAGGCCATGGACGCTTCAAGCTGTCGAAGGATACCAAGACCCGCTCTCCCCGAACTTCGCTGAGACTTGTAGTTCTTCTCAAACTTGAAGCTAATATTTGGCCCTTGGTCTAAAACAGGGCGAGCGAACCTCCGGCCCTCCAGCTGTGGTGAAACTACAAACCCCACGATGCATCTGTCTTTGGGAGTCATGTCTGTGGCTCTGAGAATCTTGCCATGCCTCATGGGATTTGTAGTTCCACCGCAGCTGGAGGGCCAGAGGTTTGCTACCCCTGGTCTAAAATGACGACTTTCTGATGTTTTTGATGTTGCAAGGCAGGGAAGTTCAACTGTAATCGGCATTCAACACCAAACCTGCTTCTTATGTGCAGGCTAAAGAGGAATCCATAGTGTGCAAACGTTTAACAGTGCATGGAAACACAAATTCTATTTTACAAAATGTTCGCCATCGTGCCTCACTGTATACAATTATGGGGGGGGGGGGGGGAATTATC